GAAGCAGAGATAGTATTCACAACTTTATGGTTATTTTGCAAATTTTATTGCTCATCATTTCGTCAGCTATCGGTCTCTTTCCGCTGGCATCGTAACTTCTTCGCATTCCTTGGCCCTCGCGTCCAGCCCACTGGTCGCCGTCTCTCATGCGGGCATTGCCAGCTCGCCGACCATCGCCACTCTGACTCCAGGTCGTCCGTACAGTCAATTCGGCGGTCAGAGATGTACAAAAATCCTGAATTTGGGACAGAGCTGTACTGGAGCCGCGCTGTCGGCCGGTATTCCGGTAACGGTACCGTCTTGTGAGACAACTGGGCCTATCGGTAGCTTCATGGGGGCAACAGAGGGACCACGAGGGCGGTTTTCCGGCGTTTATCTGTTCAACAGCCTGCCTCGTCCGGCTGGGGTCGTTAGACCTGCAGGTGAAGAAGATGGGGAAAGCTGTTCCACTGGGAAACAATTGGTCGGTTCGGACTCAACGTTGGGCCGAGTAAGCATTTGGGCTATTCAACTTTGATTGGCCAATTAGTCCGCATCCAAACGGCAAATACCAGAGTTGGAGTTTATGCTTTTATTTCCTCAATTTTTCATTACTGTATTTGTCTTGGGACTGTTTCAGGACCTTGGGATCCGTTTGTGACAAGTTTTGGAAACTTTGTTGATATATAATGTTTCTATTTGCAGGATACTGTCTTTCCAAAAAAATGTATAACAAAAAGTATATGCTGTAAAGTCCCATATACTTACCTCATAGAGAATATTATAGAAATTTCCTGTTTATTCCATTAACGATTTCACTTCTCACAAACCAACTATTTAGCCAGTTCTGCTGTTGATTAAATAAGGAATAATAACATATAATTGAGCTGTTTGCTGAATGCTAAAGCATTCTTACATTCCATTTTACTGCATTATGCGCTACATTTTGTATTTCGTCTCATAGTTTCATCAAAACTCTCAGCGGAATTCTAACCGCGAACGTGTGGGGTAAGAAGCCAAAACGCTACACTCTAGGCCATTCAACTCTAGCCTTATTATGTTATGCGACAAGTACGAATTTCAGTGCACTCTTTTGCATAAAATCAATTTAAGTATTTCAGAAATTGGATAAAAAACTCTATTTAGAGATTGACTATTGACTTCTCTGCGGTCGAGAGAAATGCTCACAGTTGTTGAACCAAAAGGGAATGAGATAACTCAAACCTGGTATTAGATCATTTCTATACATAAGCTTACCATTCACTGCTAATAGTCCAAAAATTGGTCTATAAACTTGCAAGCCACATGTAATAAGCTTTGATTTGAAAGGATATATTTGCTTTGCATTGTAGGCCTTTAGAGCCATACGTTTGCTTTACGCATTAAAAGATATTTTATTTTCATTGGTAGAAATTATTTATAGATTACCGATAAGCTACACTTTTTGCTATTGAACGAATGGACATTTACATTGTCCATTAGCAATTAGAGGCCTTTAAAATGATTTATATTATATCATTTAGCCAAGATAATAGGCTACCGTTTCGACCGCGCCTAGGTCTCATAAACTTACCCAATAGAAGTAAGCTTTGGAGGCTTGGATCTAGACGCAAATATGTTTCAGTTGGATTTGAAGCCTTTCAAATTGATGAATTTTGATCAAACATAACTCCATATACAAATGAGACTTATATTTATGAGAAAATAAACACTATTGGCTGCTTAGCAATTTAGGCACTAGTGGTTGATCTAATAAGAAATCATTGGTGGTCCTTGATCTTGAAACGAAATTGACTAAGTTTTCCATTTACGAGTATGTTTTAGAAATTGCCAGAAGATCTGATATAAGAGCTGTTTTTGCTCTATTTCGTTTAAGATGATGAAGGACTGATAGTTGTATTTTATGAAAATGATATAACTAGTTCTCATGCTTCCATAAATAGAAAAAGGTAATTTAGTCGATTTATATATCAAATACAACCTTACTTCATAATTGTTGAGCCTACTTCCATTTCGAGTGAAAGCGTTTGGTGTGGAAATTCGAAGCTCAATCCCACCAGAAGACGATTGCGGATTCCACTTGCCCAGTTGCGATTGGCTTTACCGGAACATTATAGTTGGTGCTGCTTCCGAAGTAATCTCCTTTGGGTCTGATGAAAGCATGATGTTTTCCTCCGTCGCATAACGGACATCACCAGAGCAGGGTATCATCTTTACAACCATATTCAAGTAAAGAAAACTCACCGGCTCATCCCTGAAAAGCTACATTTGTATTTTCTATACCTGACCTCTTTGATTAGGTATAAAGTGATTTGGTTGGTTCCAGTCATATTTCAACCCCGGAGCATGTGAATGTGTCCGTCTCTGTATGCTTATGTGCCTTTATGTGTTCGCATATATACGAAACCAGAAGTGATGGCCCAAAGTAATTAGGACAGCAAAAGTAACGCCTGTTCTCGGCCATCAAGGTTTGATGATCATCATCACTTCTATTGTGCAGAGTCGGACACGCGTCTGATAATATGGGTGAACCTTTTTTGTCTTAATGTGAGAGTGAAGGAGTGGGCTTAAAGTACAGAGAAGTGATTGTGATTAGAAACAAGACAAAAAAAGACTAGTTAAGTCGACTCCTTTTTGCAGGCGGCTCAACATTCTCTGTATTCTTGAGTCTATTAATTAAATATATGAGTTGTTTTCATCCTATTTCGTTTAAGGTAATGAAGGACTGATATTCTCATTTTCCCACAAACTTATGAGTAGAGCTGATCTTTTTCAGTGAATTTCACATAGCCGTGTTTTAATAAAGGGTGTACTCATCCAGGGTGGACTTCAATTTCGACCTCGCGTATTTGTTAACATGTCGAGCTTACACGCTGCTCTTTCATGATTCGACTCCCGCTGGGGGTGTTGATAATACCTATGCGAGGTCGAAACTACAGTCCACCCTGGATAAGAACAACTTTCGGAAGGCAAGTCTATGTGAAATTCAATGGAAACGTCAGCTCTACTCATGTCATTGTGAGAAAATTCAACTGCCGTTCCTAAAATCACCTTAGACCAAATAGGGTGAAAACAACTAAGATATCTTATTT